CTTGGTTGAAAGGAAAATACCCGGCAAAAAACTAACTATTAAAACAATCTATCATGCATCCATTCATCCATTCATGCCAATCCCATCCCCATTCCATCCCATCGCACCGCATCCCATATCCCATCCCAATCATATCCATGCCATGCATGCCATTGCATGCCATCGCGCATCCCAAACAGTAAAAAACAGTGGCGGCAGTGCAACAGGCTCCATCTGGTGTCTGTGTTCTGCTGATAAATTATTTGTGGCATAGGGCAAAGACGTCTATGCTAGGCCGCACACTATCCGATTTGGCACTGTGCCGAGCAGCTAACACCCCGCACACGTAATCCCGACCCGATCCCCCGATCGAGTTTCGGGGGGCGCACCGCAACACTGTCCGACTCACGTTGGACGGCAAAACATGGGCAATCTCGTGCGTTCCAGAGGGATTTAGCGTGTACTAAGGGTCGGAGTTGTTCCGCACCGAGTTCGAGATCCATTGTATTCGAGATGCGGTTTAGCATGGCGCGTGCTCTGGTGACGTTGGTCGAATTTCTTCGCGTTCGCCGGATCGGGTCGGATGGCTACGCGACACTAGTCCGAGTCGCGTCGTAAGCAACTATAGCAACGCGACCCTCAACCAGATTCGAAAAATCCGAATACGGGCCAAAAGTGGACCTCCAGTAGCCAAAACTCGAGAACATCTCAAGTTCCAATAAGCGGTCACCAACTGAGTAACGCCACTGATTTCGCCGGGCAACGCCGGGTAACCCGCTAGTATATATATATATATAGAGAGAGAGAGAGAAGAGAGAGAGACAGACAGAAGACAGACAGACAGACAGACAGATGCACGCGCGTGCACACGCACACACACACACACGAACACACACACACACACACACACGCACACACACAGTTGACATTGTTGACAGCTAGTGTTAGAGGACATTCACTGTAATTCACTGTAACCTGCCACGTGACGCGCCCTGCTGCTCACGCACGCACACGTTATATCAGCGGTCGTCGGTGCTGTTGTTGTTTACAGCTGATGGCTGCGGACATGATCGAGTCTTGCATCAAGCGAACACTGCAGGCCTTTGAGAAGTGGTTGCAGAAGGGTGGCAAGTCGACTGACTACATGGTCCCCATCGGCATCAGCGCCATGATCAACGTGGTCATCGATGCTAAGAACCAGGTCAGGCGCCCACTCTCCCTAACCCCCTCCCCCTAACCCCTCTCCCTAACCGCCTCTCCCTATAACCCTCTCCCTAACACTCACCCTAACCCCCTCCCCTTAACCCTAACCCTTACCTTCTACCTAAGCCTCTCCCTCTAACCCTCTTCCCCTAATCATCTTCCTAACACTCCCCTTACCCTCTTCCTAACACACTCACCGTAACCCTAACCCTTAGCCTCTCCCTAAGCCTCTCCCTCTAACCCTCTTCCCCTAACCCTTTCCCCTAACCCTCTCCCTAACACTCCCTCTAACCCTCTCTCTAACACTTTTACTCTAACCCCCTCCACCTAACCCTAACCCTTACCCTCTCCCTAAGCCTCTCCCTTTAACCCTCTCCCCTAACCTCCTCCCCCTAACCCTCTCCCTAACACTCCCTCTAACCCTCTCTCTAACACTTTCACTCTAACCCCCTCCACCTAACCCTAACCCTTACCCTCTCCCTAAGCCTCTCCCTTTAACCCTCTCCCCTAACCTCCTCCCCTAACCCTCTCCCTAACCCTTCCCCTAACCCTCTCCCTAACTCTCTCCCTAACCCTCTCCTACTAGGTTTGACCTTCCTCCAGCCCCTTCCTCTCACTAACCCTCTCCTACTGGGTCTAGACCTTCCTCCAGCCCCCTTCCTCTCACTAACCTCTCCACTGGGTCTAACCTTCCTCCAGCTAACCTTCTCCTACTGTGTTTGACCTTCCTCCAGCCCCCTTCCTCTCACTAATCCTCTCCTACTGTGTTTGACCTTCCTCCAGCCCCCTTCCTCTCACTAACCCTCTCCTACTGGGTCTAATCTTCCTTTACCTCCTGAGCTTGCTATACTATAACCTGCAGGCACCCGACCGTTGTTGTTCTAGAGTCTATATTGTATATCTGATCTAATATCATATTGTCATCTCACTAAATATGTTATACATATATGTATGTATGTAAATATATATTTATATATATATATATATATATATATATGTATGATGCCCGAACGTTGTTCTATACTATGTACTTTGTCCGTAATAATGACGTTGTATTTCCATCTTTCTTTCCTCGTGGCTGGCTTCGTCGTGATGCAGTCTCTGAAACTCTGCGCAGTGGACGGTATTGACGTGGTGAGTAGTAGTACGTCTGTAGCTGTCGTCTGCTCTGCTGTGGTGGGTGATGCCGTTACAGGCCTTGTACAGTACTGATATAGTCATAGACACAGACACAGATATATATAATCATAGACATAGATATATATAATCATAGACATATACACATACAGACACAGACATAGACATAGACACGTACAGACACAGACACAGACAAAGACATATATAATAATAGACATAGATATTTATATAATCATAGACATAGATATAGACAGACACAGACATAGACACGTACAGACACTGACATATATAATCATAGACATAGACACATACAGACACAGACATAGATATAGACAGACATAGACACAGACATATATAATCATAGACATAGACACAATCATACAGACACAGACATAGATATAGACAGACATAGACACAGATATATATAATCATAGACATAGACACATACAGACACAGACATAGATATAGACAGACATAGACACAGATATATATAATCATAGACATAGACACAATCATACAGACACAGACATAGATATAGACAGACATAGGCACAGATATATATAATCATAGACATAGACACATACAGACACAGACATAGATATAGACACACATAGACACAGATATATATAATCATAGACATAGACACAGACACAGACACGTACATAGACACAGACACAGACACGTACATAGACACAGACACAGACACGTACATAGA